GAGTTCTTATGGCTGGGCTACTTAGAAAAGTGACAATGGCTGGGCTAATTAGAAAAGTGACAAAAGACCAGATACATGGAGGAAAAAAATCAATTTAATACATGCAAACAGGAGATTATAAATGACGTCCTCAGAAACCATGAGCCAGCCAGCCTTTTAAACAAACAATAAATTTTTGAAGAAATAACAGGACAAGATGCTTAGTTTCGGGTGCCCATTAGTGAGGAATCTAAACCAAGGTTGGCCTGGGGTGGTATATTAATAAAGGAGTGACAAGCGGTGTTTATGTAAGCTTCTCGGCCCCGGGTTCCATAGCTCCAGTGATAAGGGCATCTGTCTAAACCCCAAGGGAGCAAGGAGGGCACCCTTCCCTGGGAGGTTTATCCCCTGCATTCAAGGAGGCAAGGAGGGGTCGACATGCCCTTTTGCACTGGCTGCTTATCCAATAACTCTAAATCAAAGTAATCACTGTGCCATTGTGGGATACTTGGGGCCAGCTGCCCTGGGCCCCAGCACCCGCAATGTCAAAGTGGTCAGTGCTTTGGGGAACCGAGTGTTGCAGGGTAGGAGGGGCCTTGGGTTCCGAATCTGTAAAATGGAGTTCATACCAGTGGGCCTGTAGAGTTGAGGGCGTTAGTTAATACGCACCAAGTTTTGGGGCAGCGCTTAAAACAGTATGCACTCAGTCAGTGTTAGTGCAGCTGCTACTTTTGCCGTCGTTGTCATTGCTCTCAGTGCTATACTCTGCAGAAATGCTGAGCTGGTAGCATCTGAGAGGCTGGCACGGGGACCGTGCCTCTGTTCTGAAATGTAGCTGTGAGCAGGGATACCTTTGGAGGTCCCAGAGTTCAGTGAGATGAGAGAACACACCTGGCCTACGTTCCTCTCCGGTCTCATTTTCTCCTTTCCCTGCACCCCACCTCCACCTCAGTCCAGCACTGGGCCTGACCATTGCAAAGGATTGTCCCCTGGAAAGTTTGTCCTTCTTAATGCACCCTTAGAACATGTTTCCTCGCTGAATCACCCTGTATGGTGGCTCCGAAACCCTTAGATAGGTAGGCTCCTCGGCAGCTTACTCTGCCTCTTAGAACTGCACCGTAAGTAATAATGGAAACATTGATGTAAAATAGAGGAATTAGTACCTAACTAAATGGATTGTGCGGCTCAAATAGAGTGGACGTTTACAAATCTAGCCCAGTGCCTTCCCTGCACCTTCCATCTCTTTATCTTAATTTATTTTGCACCTCTATAAATATTTTAGGCTCTTTCTCTCATCTGGGAAATCGTCATCTCCTTATTGTGTTCCTTGTTCTGATTTCTCTTGTTCTCACCTTAACCTCTACTTCCTATGTCCCACTCTAAATGAATGCTCAGTGGGTTACAAAGTTTGTAAAAATTTTTTTTAAAGAGGACAAAAAAAGAGCTAGAGACTCTATTTCTGGCAATATGATGGTATAGGAATTTTGAAACTCTTCCATTATAAACCATCTGAAAATGATAAGATGTTTTTAAGTTTAGGGAGGTAAGCTAACCTGGACTGCTAAAAACCCTCAGAGCATCTCTGGACCTGGGTGCCCAGAGAGCGGCACTGGAGACGTAATTGCCCAGCTTTGGACACAGAAGGAGAGAAAGACGGAGAATCCGAGGGAGCATGGAGTGGACTGAGAAATCAGAGTATCAGAAGTCACGGTAGTGGACCCCATGGAGGAGAGACAGTATTCAAGGGTGTAATGACTGCTAGTCTGTGGAAATGGTAGAGGAAGCCTAAAGAACACCTAGTTGGATCAAGTTAAACCTATTTCTAAATGTCATATCTAAGTTTCTAGAAACTTAGATTCAAGATAGACACCCCAACAAGGACGGGAGCCGAAAGATACGAAGTAATGCCTTCATAAGAAAAAGGACTTGTCATCCTAGGATTTTTAATGAAATAAAGACATTTTTATATAAACAAAAGTAGAAAAAGATTTATCACCTAAAGACTCTGAAAATGGGGATACCTGTAAAAGGTAAACAATAAAAATTTTTTTTAAAATTTAAAGAAACTTGCTAAGTATAGATTTCAAGAAGTAGCTGGAAAAAATCAGCCTGAAGTCCTGAAGGTGGTAACGAATAAAGGTAGTGGTAAACATAAAGTCTAAAGGGAATGATAGTTGACAGAAAAATAATGATGTCTATTTTAGCAGTATTAAAAATACTAATGCTCTTTCACAATAGGCAACCAGATTTGTTAAAACACATCCACTTACCAACTTCCCTACCACTTTGTAAGGAAAGCCTTTGAATAGGATGCGCTGGGATTCCAGTCAATAATCTCCCTCCTTCCTCCCATCCTGTTCATCATGTAACTACATTACAACCCTTCTCTTAGTTGTATATTCATATGTGCTATGAGTCAGTTTTAACTACTCTCTAGTCACCATTACGAGGAACAGTGCCTCCCCCATTCATTGGTGGCTAGCCCATGCATTTCACACGAGGAGCCTCACCAAGGGTGCAAAAGCCATAGGAGCAGAGTGTGTGTGTGTGTGTGTGTGTGTGTGTGTGTGTGTGTGTGTGTGTGTGTGCGTGCGCACGCTCTCACGCGCATGTGGCATTTAAAATCTAGGCAGTGGAGCCTGCCTCTAGGGACCCTTCCCAGCCTGCTCTAGTGTACTTGGGCCCTTTCTTCCCTGAATTCCACTTGTTGGCACCCACACCATCTTATCTGCAAAGTGGAGGTGATAATAGTACCTTATTTTTAAAGTTATGGTGTGGGTCAAATGGGTTATTACATGTAAAATCACTTAGGACAGTGCTTTTATAGCATACTGGCTGTACACTCTTGAGCACTTCTGATTTATCTTGTTAGGAGACTTGGTTGCTTCATTTAGGTTTAAACAACTGAATTATTAATTGACCAAAAACAAGACTAACTTTTACATTCCTGTGGGAGATGGAAAAGTAGAGAATGCAACACAGGGTGAAAGCTCACTACATTAGCATTAGTGACCTCTGGGTGATTTAAGATCACATTTCGGTTGGAGAGGCCTTCAGGATTTGTTTCTAATAAGTTTAGTGTGGTAATGAAAAAGAGCTGTTAAAATTTTTGTGAACCTGTACACAGATTCATAAAGGGGAGATTTCTACTTGAAAGGTAGAAAAATAGATTTGTAGATCTTGCAACTGAAGGGATCTCAGAACACTGCTAAACTAGTTTTAGGACTATGGGGAAAACCTTTAAAATTTAGGACCTGTATTTCTCCTATGGAAAACGAAAGAGTTTTTTCCTAATTTCTTTCCAGCATTAACCAGTGCTTTGTCTTATGTTATGTGGATTATCCACATTTTAAAGTGAAGCAGCTAAAGTCCCGAGAGTTTGAGGGACTGGTCAGCGGTTACCCAGCTAGGGGTCAGTGCATGAGAGGACAGGTTTAAGGCCAGGTCCAGATACCAGCTGGTCTGCCCTTGAGCCAGGCACCTCCGCCACCCCATGGCCCTGCTCTGCAACAGCGCCTGCCACCCGTGGTCACTTCCATGTGCACTGTTCTTACGTGAACCATGTCAGTATTGGATGTCTATTGGAAATAGTCAGTATGTGTTTTGTATATGTATCATATATATATGACCTACGATTCTATGTATAGCGGTCCCTTTTTTCTTTATAAAGGTTATGGCATATTCTTCTGACCATTTATTTTTGAATACACACTTTTAAAACTTACGTAGTGGAAACAGATGGGACAATTTTTTTCAAATTTCCCCCGGAAACCTGCAGAGCGGATGTTTTGAGTCCTCTTGTGCCAGGTGGACAGCTCAGCGTGGTGTTGGCAGGAGCACCCGGGTTCTGTGGGTGGGTACACACCCAGTTTCCAAGCCTGAGAATTTTTGAGTCTTCAGTCAAAGGAGATTTAAAGGATTTAAATCTTAAGAATAATGTACTTTCTAATTTAATCAGGTGTCCAACTCGAAGACAGTCTAAAGGCAGCCCCAGAGTTGACAAAGGAACAAATATAACTAGCCCTCCCTACCTATTGCGATAGGTATGTTTAGAAAAATGCCAATCATTTTTCTAAAATAGCATTTTCCAGTTACAGAGTTCATTTTATTAAGATTAAGAATTAATAGTTAAACTGTTTTTGCTAATCTGTGTTTTTGCTTTAGGACAATCTGTAAAAGTTTATATAAGTCAATAGAAATATTCTGTACACTTTTTGGTCCGGCAGAATAGGAAGAAAAGGGGGGTGTAAGGGTTTCTGAAAGAAAATTCCTTTAGAGAAAGTCTGAGAGTGTGGCGAGTGTCTGCCTTGCATTGTGCCGGGTTCTGTGAACTCTAAAGATGAAGGGATCTTCCTGCTCTCAGGTCATCACAATCTCCTGAAACAGAAATTTAGACAAAAAATTATGTTACAGTGCAGCAGGTTCTGCAGCAGAAGTATCACAAGTGGTCCCATAAGTAATAATAATCAAAGTTATTATCTGGTGGAGGGGTGGCAGAAATGTCGAGAGGAGTCCTTTTATATTCTGAGACTTTTTTTATGACTCCTAGAAACTGTGGCAAAGCCATGAAGGCGTTGGTACGTGAGCGTTTTAAACATTCTCTTGGATGACCGTGTGTTCCCACTATGCCTCCTCCTCTGCTGTCCCAGTTCCGAGCCCTCCGTCCCAGAGGGCAGACCTCGGAGCCCTGCTCCGAGGCTGGGTTCAGGGTCCTCCTCCCTCTTCTGGCTGTGGGACCATGAGAGATTACTTCTCTGTGCTTCCGTTTTGTAAAAAGCAGGAGGAATAGTACCTGGCTTTCAGGATTATTGTGATGATTAAATGAGCTAACTCATGGAAAACATTTTTAGAATACTGCCTGTTACACAGTAAAACTTGAGAAAATCTTAGTTTCCCATTATTAGTTCTGGTAGCTGATAAACCAGGAACACTAAAGCAAAATCACTGTGTTGATCGTGTAGGTTTTCTTTCTGAAATGCTCATTTCTGTCTAATAAAATTCTTGTTTTTTCTCTTTTCTAGCTCCAAGAGGAAAGCGAGGATGGAAAACCTTTTATGCTGTACTAAAGGGAACAGTTCTTTACTTGCAAAAGGTAAAAATACGTTAATTTATTTATTTATTTATCAAAACTATGCAATGATAGATAAGTTACCCCCAAAACATTCAGTTTGTACAAACACCCAGAAGACTGTTTAATTGATGTCTAAACTCTTTTTACATTCAATTAGAAATTGTGGATATATGTTAATTAGTTAAACTTCCTAAGGTCTGTGCAGGTACAGACCTGTGGCAGCACTTACTCCAGTGGATATTTATACTATAAATTAGCTGTCTTTTATTTATTGTTATTTAACAATATGTATTTAGCTATTTACCTTCATTTGGATCCTACCTAAATCTAGAAACATGGCATCCAACACTTAGGAAATATAGCAAAAGCAGTCCTAGGAGGGGAGTTTACAGAGAAAAACACATACATTTAAAAAAGTAAATATCAAATAAACAGCCTAAGTTTACACCTCAAGTAGCTAGAAAAGAAATGAAACCCTAAATTAGTAGAAGGAAGGAAACATTAAAGTTAGAGCAGAAATAAATGAAGTAGAGACCAGAAAAACAACAAAAAATCAGTGAAACTAAGAATTGATTTTTTGAAAAGATCAATTAAATTGACAAAACTTTAGCTAGACTACTAAGAAAAAAAAAGAAGATTCAAAATCAGAAATGAAAGAAGGGATGGTACAGCTGATAGCACAGAAATTAAAAGAAACAGTTATACCGACAACCCAGAAGAAATGGATAAATTCCTAAAACATACAATCTGCCAAGACCGAATCATGAATAAATAAAAATCAGGACAGACCTATATCTAGTAAGGAGATAGAATCAGTAATCACCAGTTCACCAGTAAAGTCTACCAAACTTATATAGAAGAATTAATGCTTCTCGAATTCTTCTGAAAAATTAAAGGGGGCCAAGCGAGCACTTCCAAACTCAGCTTATGAGGCCAGCATTACCCTGATACCAAAACCAGAAAAAAATACTACAGGAAAAGTACAGGCCAACATCCCTGACAAATATAGATGCAAAAATCCTCAACAAAATACCAGCAAACCAAATTCAACATCGTATTAAAAGGAGCACACATACACCATGACCAAGTGTGATTTATTCCTGGGATGCAAGGATGGTTCCACACAGGAAAATCAGTTAATATGATAAACCACGCTAACACAACAAAAGTTGTAAATCGCATTATTGTCTCCATAGATGTAGAAAAACATTTAGTGAAAATTTAACACCTTTCCTGATTAAAAAAATCACAAGTTAGGAATAAATGGAATTCACTTTATATATAGAGGCCATATATGAGAAGCCCACAGCTACCAGAAGATACTCGTGTTTTGACTGGAGAGTTTATTCTATTTACACTTAAAGTAATTATTGATAGAGAAGGACTTACTATTAGCATTTTATAAGTTTTCTCTTTTGTAGCTTTTTAACCCTCTTTTTCTCTGTTGCTGTCTTCCTTTGTGTTTTGTTGATATTTTGTAGAAACATGTTTTGATTACTTTCTCACTTTCTTTTGTATATTTTCTTTGTGGTTACCATAAGGCTTTCATGAAATGTATTACAGTTCTTTTTTTTTTTTAATTTTATTTTAATCATTGTTCAAGTACAGTTTTCTCCCTTTTACTCCCATTCCATGTATTACAGTTCTAATAGTCTATTTTAAGCTGATAACTTAAATTCAATGACATACAGAAACTAGTCACTTTTACTTCTTTTTATATACCCATGAACAGATTTTGGGGTTTATAGTTGTTTCTTGGTACTTTTCTTTTTTAACATTTATACAGGGGTTAAAAGTGATTGGTACAGTATTTCATTATTCTGTGTGTGTTCCTGATTTACTTTTACCAGTGAGATTTATGCTTCACATACCTTCGTGTTGCTGTTCCATTCCCTTTCATTCCATCTTTTTCTTTTTATTACAGTTACTGTGAGGCAGATCCAGCAGTGAGAGTCCGTCAGTTATTGCTTATCTGGGAAAGTCTTTATCTCTCCTTTGTTTTTAAAAAACTAATTTGTTGGGTATTCTATTCTTGGCTTGCAGGGGCTGGGGGTTTCCAGCATTTTAAATATATCATTCTACTGTCTCCTGACCTGCAAGATTTCTACTGAGAAACCCTATGGTAGTCTTAAGAGTTTTCCTTGTATATGACAAGTCACTCTTCTCTTGCTGCTTTCAAACTTCTCTCTTCATCATTGATTTCTGAGATGGATTATAATGTGTCTTGATCTGGCTGCCTGTTTCCTCCCCCAGATTTGGGGAGTTTTTGGTTCTGCAGCAGCAAGCCACCCGGCCCTCCCTTGTTCTTAGTTGCAGCCAGGGTCCAGAGTCTCCCAGATCCCCACCAGTGTCCCAAGTCAGGGGGCACAGACACCCTTTCCTGTGGGTGGCCCTCTGACAAGCCGAGTGCCCAACACACGCTCTGTTCCCCTTTCCCTTCCCAAGAGAGAAGCCTGATTTAGGTTAGGCACCTTTCTCCCAGCCTTCGTTCCTCACCCATTTCAGCACAGCTGTTCTTGGGTTTTTGCTCACCTCATGTACTGCAACTTCTTAACTGCATTGTGTCGTTCTCATAAAGGTATTTTGACCCATATCTCATTGTTAGATTGGTGTTTCTGTGGGGGGACACGAACTGAGAGCTCCTGTTCCGCCATCTTGCTCATGTCCTTCCAGGAAAAGAGTTTAGCATCTACTTGGACTGGGATACAGTCTGGGCATCCTTTTCTTTTTACTCTACTTATTATCACAAATATCTTTAAAGTAAAAGATGTGGCCCTGGCTGGTGTAGCTCAGTGGCTTGAGCGCGGGCTGGGAACCAAAGTGTCCCAGGTTCGATTCCCAGCCAGGGTACATTCCTGGGTTGCAGGCCATAAACCCCAGCAACCGCACATTGATGTTTCTCTCCCTCTCTCTATCGCCCTCCCTTCCCTCTCTAAAAATAAATAAATAAAATATTTTAAAAAAATAAAAAATAAAAAAATAAAGTAAAAGATGTGTAGAAGCATGTGTTTTGGTCGATCCGGTATCTGGTGACTATGAAATATTAAGTCATGGTTTTATTTTTCCCTCTTTTCTTAATAGAGTTTACAGAAGCATTTGTTTTAATTGCTTATAATGGTTTCCATTGAACAGACTGACCAAATTTAATCTTTTCCCATTTTTAGACATCTCCACTTTCAGTTTTGCCTAGTTACAGATAACGGTGTGCACATTCGAGCACGTGTCTGTTTATTTCCTGAAGGCAGAGCGCTGCGGGCCGCGGTGGTGGGGACGGGGCAGGCGCTGGCTCACGTCACAGGCATCTCAGGCATGCTTCCAGTTGGGTCCAGAGCACTGCAGTCAGGCAAATCACGAAGTGTTTTGGTTTCCCAATAAAATGCATAATATAGTGTTTACACTATATTATGGTCTGTTAAGTGTAAAATGTCATTATGTAAGAAAACAATGTATATGCCTTAATTAAAAAATACTTCATTGCTAAAAAATGCTAGCCATCATCTGAACCTTTAGCGACTTGTAATGTTTTTGCTGGTGGAGGGCAAGATCCTTTACTTATTACTGTAATAATAATTATTATTAATTATAATTAATAATTATTAATAATTACTTATTAACAACCACTTATTACTGTAATAAGTAATGTAATAATAATAATGAAAAAGTTTGAAATGTAAGAATTATCAAAATGTGACACAGAGACATGAAGTGAGCAGATTCTGTGGAGAAATGGCACCAACAGACTTGCTCTGTGCAGGGTTGCCACAAACTTTCAAGTTGTGAAAACACACTATCTGGGAAGCACAGGAAGGCAAAGCCTGTATTGACACGTACTTACAGATTCTCCCGGGAAAGGCCGAACAAGGTCTTTTAGTCCTAAGAGCAGTTTATGACAATGTCTGTCTTACCACAACCAAGAAAAATGCCTCATTCAGTTGTGAGCATTTTGTTCTCGGTGCCCAAACCCATGCTCTGACATACTTTACACACTTCTCTTCCCACACTTGCACGTCTATGGGAGCCCTGCCCTGAGGGGTGGCACCTGCAGCACTGAGTCAGCTGGCCTTCGCAGCCTGAGCTATTCAGAGAACAAACTGCTTTGCAATGGAGGTACAAGTATTGGAGGAAAATACATTTGATTCATTTAAAAAATATTAATGCCATATATAATAAAATCGAAAGAATTATTTAAAAAAAAAAAAACAACCTTGCTTAGGAATCCACCCAGGTCGATATTTTAAAGGACCTTGAATGCACTACATTACATCTTGTCTCAACACTTTGCATGCTGGCAGAGTGGCTTTGTAAGGAGCACTTCTGTAATCCCCTTTTGTTCTGTTTCTCTACCGGAACTTGAGTCAGATGTCTAGACTGGGAAGGACCGTATTTAACACAAACCCCCTTTTGTAAAAATTTCTTTTAAAATACATTAGGTAAGGGACATTAGAGCATGGGATGATTCCTTGGACCAGGGCTCTTTTTGTGGGTAAATAACCTTTGCAGGGAAGGGTGTGGAGTTAGTTGAAACCCAAAGATTAACAACAGCAGCAATGAATGACTTGTGGCATCCTGCTCCAGTGCACACATTACTTGGAGGGACAGAACAGTGGGGAAAATGGAGACGGTTGTTGATGTTAGGAGATACCTGCTTTTAGACGATGGCCAGATAGCTGGTGTTGCCTCTAGTTCCCTGTGGAACCAGCACCGCTCTGGCCTCCTCCAAAGCAGCGTGCGTGTACATGCCGAGTCCACATTAGTCCTTTCAGCTCACTTTGTCTCCACAGGGAATAGCCTTTGAAATTAAACTTCACATATCACAGCTGTCTCCCCAGCATAAATCCTGTTCTTTTGGCTTACATTTTCATTTTCTCTAAAATCTCTATATGGGGCATGGCTGTCTTTGGCAAAACCATTCCATTGAATACCTAGCGGCAGGATTTCCACCCACTCCATCCCAGGGTGAGCCTGGGAAGAGAGAAGAATACTCTCACATTGAACATTTGACAGAAGTGATGCAAAGAGAG